CCAAATAAATAACAAACTATTATTTTTGATAAAGTGTAATAAATTGCAATAGTTTATTATTATTATAATTATTTATATATTTTTAACTTGTAATTTTGTTCTCACATAATTTTATTTTAGCTTACCCAAACACAGAATCTTAAGAAATCCCAAATAACGTTCTCCCTCAACTGGATCCCAACCCAGATCTGGATAACCTTTTTCGATCAACTCTGAGTTACTTTGGAGACCGCATCGGGACAAATATATTGCAATTTTCTCGAGATAATGCTCTCTATGAAATAACAAAAATATGAAAATATAATATGTAATATTAAATATAATGCGTCTCAATTACTACCTCAAAGCCAATGCCAGTTCAGTGTTCTCCATCAAACTTGAATAGGCAACATCCAATGGTGTGCTGCCGCGAAGACTTGGTCTTGATAACAAAATATTTGAATTTTCTAATAAGAAATCGAAATGGTCGAACATAGCCTTTTGATTTTGTCTACCAGTCTGCAGCAGAAGTAGCACAAGAAGCGACAACAAGCTACAACCATTTCGTGAGACGTATCTTTTTCTTTGACCGCGACCTGAAAAAAAGATAATTAATATTATTGGCCTAAACGTAAAAAATACATTTAATATATTGAATTATTTAGAAAAAAAAGATGGTAACCTCTCCTCCTTCAGCACCTTGTGCAGGTGCATCACTTTGTGCTTGGGCTCTGCGGCCTAAAGTGTTCATCATCACAGCCATGACGTTTTCATGGACACGAAGGACTCTGATTAAATCAGGATGTTGGAAGAAAGTGTGATTGTTACAAGTTTCCTAAAAATATTTTAAAAAATAAAACTGTCAATTATGGCAATGCCAGGTGCTATTGAGCTTCAATTCATAAGATATTAAATTTGAAAGTTGAAATTAGTTCTAAGATTACCAGAGTCTGGTCCTCATAAGTTCTTCTTCCTCCTGACTCATTTGCACTGGCAGAAGAGCACGAATTTGACTCAAACCGACCCACATTTCTGCAACATCTTGTCGTGTTTTGGCATTTATCACATAAGTTTTAGCAAGAGCACGTATTAATTCACCAACTGAATCGTACTGTCTTACTAACAAACTATAATAAAATTCAGAATTCATTACAATTTAAAAAAGATATTTATAATTATTACCACATCAATGACTTCAATAGTGTCATAACGAAAAATCTTCTCATTTTACCTGAACATTTCTCGTACAAGTTTTGGAGTTTCAATTGAGATTCCTCAGCCCAAGATACAATTGTTGATATAAGAACCTTCCTAAATATTTCTTCAGGAGATTTTTTCTCTGGTTCTTCCTCCTGTTGTTGATCTTCCAATTCTAGATCTTTGACTGTATTGATAAAATTAAATAGCTTCTTGATTTTACCAGTCCTGGATTCATCCACAGCAGGCTAAAAATGATAGCCAAATAATAAAAAAATACTACTGGCAATTTAGATTTGTATTTACCTCCTCTGGTTCAGGTTCTTGTAATGCTGACAAAGACACGTGTGTCATGAGTTGCTCATGGAAAGTATTCATTCTTTCTCTTAGGTCATCACCACAAGGGCAGTTTTCCTTATCCTCTTCTTCCAGGTTTTTAAAACCTTAATAAAAACGTGAAAAATGTTGAGATATTTTGGTGGTATAAAAAAGTATATGTTCAAATTAATTGCTTGTTGTTAAAATAATTTAATATATGTTTATACAATAACTTACTAAGAATAACATTCATTTGTTCTCGTGGAGGACATCTGAACTCTCTCGTTTTCTTAGCAGCTACCGCACTGGGCAAGTCACTGGCTTTGATATCAATATATCTGATAATGATAATAATTTTTAAAATAATAAATTATTATGACACATTAATAATGTATAAAATATAAATACAAGCGACCAACATTGTTCAGTATATAAATAAAAAAACAAAACCATTTAAACATACAATTATGTGTGTTATTAGATATGTATAATGATATTTTATTAATTTAATTTTAGATTTACCGTCGAAGTTGATCAGCTTGCAAATCGGCAACAAAATCGTGGCCGAAAGCAATTATGGCTTCTACACGATGTCTTAGTTGAATATCATTCAAGTGGTGGAGAAGGTAGCACATCTGAAGTTTGGCTCCTTCAGCCATCTTCATATGTAGAAGACCTTTTCGGTGTTCATCCTTACCATCTAGTAACAAAATCAACAAACCAAATAATTATAAAATATTTAGAAAATATAACAATATGTATATATGAAAATAATAATCAATTACCCTTTTCAAAGTTTGGATCCCATGTTTCAGGATTAATCATTATCAACAATTTCTCAATATCTTCATCTGTGAGCATACCGACGAGAAGTAACCTATCGGTAAGTTTCAAGAGAGGTCTGAAAGATAACTTATTATTAGTAATCGAAGTAATAAAATATATTAATAAAATATGATTATAATTTGTACAGAAAGAGGTTTTCATTGCTGCCTCCAATTGGATCTCTGTTGTGGACTTGATTAATTTCTACGGCTTCTGCAAGAGCAGTCATCACAAATTCACGAACCACACTCAATGGAAAATAGGGCGAATACAGATTCATAATTGGTGGTATATTGTCTCTAAAATAAAGAAAAAAACTAAATTAAAATAAAACTAGTGGTGCATGGCATTGTGTCTTAAGAAAAATTGCTGAAAACTTCCCGTACCAGAATTAAATACTCGAGCAAAAAAATAATGATAAATAAAAATTTGTCAATGATTAATAACAATTGTTTTAAATATTTTCAAAGAGATAATTATGATTAAATTATGAACTATATATTTATTCGTTCATGGAATATACAGTGACAATCTTATCGCTCTAAACTTCTAAAAATGTTTAGATTAAGCAGACAATCCATCTGAGGATATATTTCTTACGATTACAATAACGCATATAAAACATATTAATTTTTCGGCGAAATTGTTAATTTAAAATCCATATTGAAAGTATAAAACTTTGTATATTTTTGAAAATTATGAAATTTTTTTTTCTAAAAAACAAGTAAAATGTTTTGTGAATCATTCAAATCGGGGGCCGTTACCTTATAAACTAAAATACCATTTTGGGCCTGTCTTTGCCAAATTCTAATTAGCACATCTCCCTATCAGTAGGAGTCGAATGTTTATTAAATCATTTAAATCGCTTGATTCATGCGCCCGAAATCTTGGATGAAAAATTGTTTCCAAACATGCACACACATACATAAATCATTTTTTTAAGGTATGCCAAAACGTTCATAAACAATTAAAACGTAAAGATATGCAAACATTTCCATTATCGATTTTTGGAGATTACTATAACTTACCCTACGGGAAGTTAAAAATACTTTAAAAATAAATATTATGTTAGGGTTAGGCGGCTATGTGCAATTGTCAGAATATAATATAATTGTTTCAACTTGATCAAATGTTATACAAAATAATAATTTATTAGAAATAACATGTTTATCTTGAAAACGTTAGACAGAGGGACCAATTCTGCCGCTAAACATACAAATGTTATGGCAAGGCTATGTTATAAAGAACTTTCCATACAAATTCGTTCTAAATATCGATAAAAATCATGGATTTGCTGTGCAGTCAGGCGAATTTCTCAGGTTGTCGGATAAAAAACATAACTTAGAAATGGCACAAATGTCAAAAAACGATGTTAGGTAACAGGGCGTTTCTGACTCGTCTTTATAACATACGAGTTACGTTACAGTTTAAAACGCCTGGATTCATACTAAATACATAATATTTTGACAGTATTCAGTATGATTCAGTACCATAATGTATGAAGGTTGTACTGTAACATGGCCTTGCTATAATATTTATCTGTTATGCGGCAGAATTGGTCCCTAAATTATCTACTTACGAAATATCAGTCATTTTCATTTGTGGTCTCACAGATTCGGTCTTCAGCGATCTTAAACTATGTTTCATATCAGTGTCCTCATAAAGCTCCCTTAGTTCAGGACCCAAAGGAATAATATATTCATTTTTGCACACCTCCCTAAAATATTCAAAATAATGTTAACCCTTTGTCACTTCATATTTTGTTCATAAATAATATTTTAAATTATTATTACATTGTTGTGGCATGTGACTCTAAATGTAAGGCTATCAATAAGTCGTAGAATCCTTGACGAAGTGGTCCACTCATATATTCTGATTTTATGGCATACAAAAGTTGTTTTTGGTCTACGTGAATGCAGAGAGCATGTGCAGCACTATAAATAATATATGTAACAGAAAAAAATCACTACAATTTGAAAAATTTGAAAAAATGTATTTTCATGAAATATCAAATACTTTTATAATTACCGATAATTTGATTGATAACATAACGCCGCATATAAAGTTAAAGTGTGTGCATGGAACCCAAGCATTCTTTCATTTTCAATCAATTCTAAAATATCGATACATCGATCTTCTTCAGGAATATGCAAAGCCAACATTGATACAGGATCTTCACATAACATAGACCAGCCTCTGATATCTGACAATTTCAATGCATGGACATGCAATGAAACATTTGGTACCTGGTTGAACAAAAATATCAAAAAGTGTTAAATCAAACCTATTTTTTTTTAATAATTCCATTATATTTACCCTGGCCCATTGATGCGGCTTCAAACACTGAACCTTCAACCTAGGAGGAAATTGTGGAATAGCATGCTTGTCACCAGTTGGCAACACGGCTGCCGAAAGTGGCAACGTGGTTGCAGTTCTGCCCAATTCAATTTGCAGCATATCTTTGGAAGTGGCTTCAACAAAAATAGCTGGGAACAGTTTAGTTTCTGGTTCCATATGCCATTTGTGTGAAGTTTCTTTTCCTTCACATGTAAAGGTGATGCAGCCAGTAGCCGTATCAACGAAACAACCAACAAACATACCCTAAATAATTAAATCATTCAAACGAAAAGTCTGATTTGACAAAAAAAAAAAAAATTTACAACTTACCTGTGAAGCTCCTTTCCTGAAGCATCTTGAGTGACTTCATTGTAAAGTTCATCTGCACGAACCATGTAACAACTTTGTCTTTCAATACTAAAATTAATCAAGTATAATTATATTATAAACTTTAATTTTTATTGTTTTGTCGCTGTATTATCGTATTTATTATTTCTACTTACTTTTCTATAATTCTTTCATATTCATCTTCAATAATTACTGAGCCTCGCCTTACTTTGCTCTGATTGAATTCTTTGCTATGTAGATGGTATTGAGTTGTTACCCAACCAACATATACATGAGTAGGATCTGTAAAGAATTTATAGAATAATCAGACTAGTCTATTTTATCATTAATAAACTGGATTTGTAAGTCATCGACGAATAATATTATTCTATGACTTGTTCTTCAAGTGTATTTTATTGCAAAGAAAAATTCAATGTTTAACTTGTAGCTCATGAATTTTAATTTTGAAGTTTTTACCTTGACCAGGATAAATTCTGACACCATAAAAATATTCATTAATCAGTTTTAGGCATTCTGCATCATAAACTTCATTGCCAATGGATTCAACTCCAGTACTTGCAACTCCTAAAGACATCGCTTTGGGACCACCAGTTGCTGGAGGCTGACCTCTAAGATCTCCCTAAGAGAAGAATAATATAACAAATTGTTATACAGTTTATAGTTACTTATATTAAGCATACTATTATGTTTATTTATAAGTTTATATTGAAATAATGGTAGTAATGGATATTATGTTTCTAACCTGTGATATTCGAACTGTTGGCATTCTGGCAAGCAAGTTGCTCTGCGCACCTATAGAAAATTAATTTAAAATATAATTTTTTAAATTTATATTTAAATTTGAATTTAAATTTTAATTAAATTAATCATATTTAATTTATGACAATATTTGAAAGTATTGCAAAAATTAAAAACATAGTATAGTTCTTCAGTTTCCATGTATTGAACTATAGATCAGTATTATTTTGTATTAAGAATATTAGAATTAGAATATCGACTACTGATTTTTAGCAAAAACTAAGAACATCTAAGAATAAGTATCACAAAGTTATATTTAATATCTAATTAATAATACCGATTGGTTTTCTATCAGCCATTGCGACAGGTTCAGGTGTCCTTGCCTTGGATTTTGATCTTTCGCCACTTTGATCTCTGTTTTTACGAGAGAAAAATCTGAAACAAATATAGTATATTTAATTCAATATTGCTAAATGATAATTATATATATATTAGAAAATTGTAATTTGTTTGATCAACTAATTACTAGTTATTTTAGTTTTATATATTTACCTAAATGGAGAGCGTCCCCTTTTCTTTTTATCATCTGCATTCATTTCAAGTTCACTAGTTGATCGTTTCATTTTGCCATTAACGTTTAGACCTGAAAATTTGATTATTGTCATCATATTTAATTAATAAAATCAATATTATAAAAATGACGTAGAAGCAACTTAAGACATTATATTAGTTACCTCCTTGAGGATCATATGCAGGTCCTGGTCTAGAAAGTGAACCTTTTCTTGGAGGCCGAGCTGGACTTGTTCTCATCATCTCATCAGACTCGACGCCTTCCTCTTCATAGTTACGAGAAATACCTATAATTTAAAAAATATTTATATTTTATTCTTTTAAGCAGTTTGTTATTTGCATATTTAAGATAATAAATATAAAATATTTACCTTTGATGTCATTCATGGTAAAACCACTCTTCATGATCTGTTCCAGATGAGCAGGCGTGGTATTGCTATCGACTTCTGCCATTAATCTATGTTGTCTGATACGGATTTCTTGCCATCTCCTAATTTTCTCACTCTCACTAAATCGTAAATAATTAAAAACTATAATTTACTATTGTATAAATATTCAATTTTAATTCTTACGGTATGAATGCGGATTGGCAAGTTACAGGCAAAGATAGCCTCAAAAACTCCCAATTAGCTTTCTCCATAGTTTCAAAAGTGTTGTGTGAAATCTTCAAACAAGGTGGTGTGTCTGATCCAGCTGGTATACGAGTTACATCGATTTTGGTGTCAGATATATCATCAGTATTTTCGAATATGGGTTGGTCCTTCGTGTACCAATATGTGACTGCACGTTTCATATTCCTAAGAATAATAATAGACATAGTCGACATTTTTTTTATTCTTATTATTCTTTATTTATTTATTCATTTTTTAATTTTTTTTATTTTATTTTTTTTTTCTTTTTAATTTTTTTTTCTTGAGTATATCATCTTATTTTTATCTACTTACACGCAGAATGGTTCATAACCTTCCTGCAGCCCACAAGTGGTAAAGAATTTAAGCTGGTCTACATCTTGGCCATAACATAATCTGGCTTTTTGGCCAACACTTAAAGTACAAGCTGGTACAAAACCCTCTCCTTGGACATCTGCAAATGAGGTCTCACCACCCAAAGCATCCATTAATAATTCTCCATTTAAAGAGAAACCTGACAGAATATGAATATTAGTATAAAATTCGTATAAAATATATTTAAGAAACGTTAAATCACAAGCAATGAATTTATGATAGTAATTAATTTTTAATCAGCACAAATTTTCAAACTATTTCTATCTACAACAAACCAATTTATTAAACTAAAAATATTATTATAAAATTAATCTACAAATTTGCAAGCGTAGATAAACAAGTATAAAATTGTTTGGTAACTAAACAATTCTAATGTAATAGTTTATTATAAAATATTATTTTAATTTGGTCTGGTAGCAGATTAATATTTCTGTTCTAGATGTTCAAATTATGATCTATAAACAAATCAAATCAAAACACAAATTTTGTTAGTTAAAACACTCAATTGTTATTAAGGGCTGAAAGTACATTAAATGTTAGATTCATTAAACAATTCACAAACAAACATATGTATTATTCTAACTACCTTATCTCATAAAATAATTTTATTTTTTGGTTTTAGAAAAAGCTGCAGCAAAAGCGAAAGAACGTGGTCTAAAAGGTTATTTGTTTATAAATATCAAGGCAATATTAATAATAGGTTTTCGACATTTTGTAGAAACTGACTGCTAGATATTTTGTAAAGGTTTAGCAAAAATATATTGACAAGGTATGGTAACTATTCGTCAATAATTACAATTAATTTTGAGTTCTATTCTTAGTGGATATAAAATTATTTTTCTTCGAAGTTGGAGTATTCATCTCAAAAATTTAAATTTTTGAACAAGAATTTGTATGACAAATTAATAATAATGAAAAGAATCTAATCAAACAAATTAATCCAGAGTGTTCGCAAATTACTTTTGAATGGTGGTCTGGTAAGTTATGGGCAGCAAGTTATTAGAAAGGCAAAATATATTTCTAAATAAACATTTAGTTTACTTATAGTATGATCGATTAAATCCAAGAATACACCGACTACATCACCCACAGCCCACTGCTTTCCAAAAGATTCGGCATTGCCAGAAAATACTTTTTCCTCCTAAGAAAGGTTTGGAATTGATTTGGGCGGTCAAAAAGTCATATAAAGCTGACATACATTCAGGAATAAATCGTAATAAATAAGTACTTACTCTAGTATAAAAAAAATTAATAATTATTATATATTTACATATATATTTATTAATTTTTAAATTATAAAATGGTATATTTTTGAATTTATGTCAGCCCTTTATAAGTTTTTTAAAAACAATTTTCTGGAAATACATTTTAGACAATGCTGCAGCTGTAAAAATGTTTAAAATCTTAACTATATGAAATGATGTCAAGCAATATGATTGGACTAAATTTTCAATATTAAATTGCATGTGGGACAATTTCAATCAATCAAGTTTTAATTTTACTCGATGTACCTTCAAATTATTTTGACATGGTGACAAATTGGATATTGAATTATTTATTAATTTATGTACCTCTTATTTTAAAGGGACATGCAACTAAATTATATGAAATTTTTAAATATTTTCATCATCTTTTCTAACTCAAGAGCCCAGTTAGATTGAATACTACTTCTATTCAAAGGCATTTAACACTACTTATATAAAAAATTACTACTTATGATATAACGGTCATTTATATCGATCACGTTTATGCCACAAATTCGAATTATTGGAAACGATGAGTTTTTTCTATTGTACAACATGCTTGGAAAATTGTACACAATGATCACAGTGAATTTTGTCAATGTACAGAAGGAAGCATACGGAAATTCTAAAACTGGGTCACATTATCAAAATTATTTAATTTCGTGCAAACATTAAATCGAAAATATATCATACTAATAATCGAATCGTTTAAGTCCAGAAAACATCCCACAATATCTCCAACAAGATACTTATGTCCGAAAGATTCGCTAATACCAGCGTGCTCCTTCGTAATCTAATTCGATAACTTATTATTATTTTAACAGTTACATTTTAAAAATATTTTTGTTTAAATTTAAAACATATAAAATATTATAAATAATTTTTGTTGAGTATATTTATATATCCTAATAATAATTTTTATACCATGTAATTTTATGATAAATTTACTTACATTATAACCATCGAATGCCCAGGTATATTCGTCCTGACCAAGCATTTGTCCTGGTGGACAATCCGATCTTGCCCAGCCCACCTATTGCGATTTAAAAAATATATAAATAATTGAACAAGTATTATATGAAATTATTAAAATAAATAAAAATTCTTACTCTCATAGGACCAGCAGTTAGAATTTCAAACTCAAAATACCATTTTCCGCTGGTGACTGCATAAGTTTTTTCAACACGGTAGGTTCTGAATCCTGAATGGCGCAAACGATGTGCTTCTGCTAATAAAGCTAAATGAAACAATAGAAAATGTTAATACCTTATAATACATCTCAAAATAAATTATGCAACTATTTAGTAGGTAACTATAAGAAATATATCGAGTCCACCAATATATATATATATATATATATATATATATATATATATATATATATATATATATACACGAGTATACGAGTATATATATTGAAAATGTTTAAATTTGATGTTGAAATGTATGATTGATTTCTTGGAAGGCGTAGCATCAATTAAAAAATAAGTAAAGTAAAGATTTTTTTCAAAACATCTTTATTTTTCCATACGTTTCGACGTAAAATTCTACGTCATCTTCAGTGGTTTTGAATTATTTATATTATCACTAACACATATTAATATAACTTGTAAAAATTAATAATTAGAGACAAGCACTAACTGTCAGTAATTTCTTTTTTTTAATAAAAAGAATAAAAGATAAAGAGTGATTAATAAATAAAATATTATACGTAATACACGTGCATCCGAGGCCAGTGCCAAACAGAATAATAATAAGAATTATTAATTTTTACAAGTTATATTAATATGTGTTAGTGATAATATAAATAATTCAAAACCACTGAAGATGACGTAGAATTTTACGTCGAAACGTATGGAAAAATAAAGATGTTTTGAAAAAAATCTTTACTTTACTTATTTTTTAATTGATGTTACGCCCTCCAAGAAATCAATCATATATATATATATATATATATATATATTAATTTGAAAATATGAACAAACAACACTCTTTTTTGCAATAATTTATTAGATAATAATTTTCACAAACGTTTCGAAACTAGATTTGTCTCATCATCAGTGTGTTATAATTCAAAATTTAAAATATGGAATCCTAAATTAGCATTATGTGTTATGCGTTACAAGTCGTTTGATATACTGTCTTCTGCCTCATCAACGATCGTCGGTGTCCGAACTCTCGATTCAATCTCAAGTGGCTAGTCACGCAATATCAGATAGGAAAGAAAGGATTAGGGTCTAGTTGAAAATTATAAATTAATTTTATTAATAAGTTTTAAATTATGACACGCTGACGATGAGACGAATCTAGTCTCGAAACGTTTGTGAAAATTATAATTTAATAAATTAGTGCAAAAAAGAGTGTTGTTTGTTCATATTTCCAAATTAATATCTATTTATCCACCCAGAATACATTTATATATATATATATATATATATATATATATATATATATATATTGATTATGTCGATTGTTTACACATATCGGCAAGTTCATGTAACTTTCCTCAAGGCAAAATACCACTAGCAACTTGCAACTAGTTTTTGATAAATGTGGTACTATAATAATCATATATTTACATACCTTCATTGGCTTCTCCTTGAGGTGGCTCCAAATTATAACCATACACTAATAATGTCCTTACAGTTTCCGAAGCAGTATCCCTATTAGCCTTCTTGATGGCTTCATCAACTTTTGCGTAAGGAACCAAATGAGGACTTCTTAAATTGTCTGAATCCTAAAATTCATTAATAGATACTTAATAATAAATTTATTTTTGATTTGCATGCATTCCGTAAATGAAATGCAATAAAATAATAAAATGCGTCATTAAGTAACTAAACAATAACATTTACATTTGATTACATATTCATCTGATATTTTAGCAAAATTTTATGTGTCGGTAGTATTTAATTTGCAACGTGTATTTGTTATTGTAGACAATAGCTAATGCCAAAACTAATAAACGCTGAAATACCTCATTTAAGCCATAAGTCCATCCTTGTTGAATCCTTTCTTTAGCCCACAAGTTATGAGTGTTTTCTGCAAGCTGATCTACTAATTCATCCATTTTTGGTGTCAGTGTAACAGCGCTCAAATCTAGTGGTGCTGGCTTATATCTATAGTAATAATAATAAATAAATTATTAAGACAATCAACGTAAAGTATGTTTTAAAATTTTATATATGTATATATTAATAAATTTTGACCATATCATAATTACCCATTAGCTTGAAGAAAAGGTTCGTTCGGCAAACGTATTTGACGGATTCTTGCTGGTGGTTTGTCCATAGATATGTAATAGCCCAAAGCAATGATAGTTCTGCGAAATAATCATGTATATTTTCTAGATGTAAAAAATAATTGATAATCTTCACATGACCAAAACATAAAAACTTACTTGAGTGTTTGAATTGCTAATTGTGAATCATATTTTTTCTCAGCAGCAGGCAAATTGTCAAATTGAGTCAAACATGGATGAATTTTGTGGACATCATCCCTTCGTTCACCCCAGCACCAGCCCGATTCTACCTTATTCAAAGCCCACATTTCATGGATATTCTCTGCCAATTTATCACGAATTGTTTCTACGTAACTGGGCATAGTAACCTGTAATAAAATAATGATAAAAACTCATTCTAGAATATCATTATTACAAATATGTAATATAAATAAATTTTTCAAAACTGAAATCTGATCAAAAATCTGCTTACCGATGTAGTGTCCACTGGCTTGGGAACAAACGCAGTGTCATCTTCAACCAACCAAGGTCCTGCCAAAACGCTTTTGTTGAGATTTCCGAAATAAAAGCATGGATCTAAACTCAAAATTTGTTGTGGTTGTAGACATTCTACCAGTGGAGAGAAACCTTCAGGTGGCGCGTATTTAAGACGACCGTGGTCACCACCGAGAAGAAAACGACAACTGAAAAATGATATTTTTGATTCGATATTTATGTTAGTTATGGAATTGTTTATTACCAAATTTAAATTAATTTTACCTTAATTTAGAAGAACAGCTCATAACTGGATGGAACATGCCGTCCAAATTAAAATCGGTGAAGCTTCCATGAATCCTCATACCGTTCATGGTAAAAGTAATCAAGGGAATGCTTAAATCTAAAGCGCATCCCACCACGTCACCTTTTCTGATATATGGTTCTTCGGCTCCGGGAAGAACCAAAGATTTTCTTCCACCAGTCCACAAATATGCACCATCGAAACCAAAGGAGTACAAATCATCACCTACGCCATTTCCTCCCCATTTTTCACCACCTCCAGGATAAGGGACGTAACTAAAAAAAATTATTTGCACTTAGTAAATAAGATATAAAATTATAAGATATTATGCAGTCACTTAATATATAAAAAAAATAAAAAATGATACGTGATTCATAAAATAATTAATATACGTATGAATCATCAAAAGATAAATAAATAATAGGTTGTCAAATACCTCCCTTCCGCCTTTTTGTTTTATAAACCAAGAGCAAAAATGCGGAAGGGAGATATTTGACAACCTAATATATATTTGTATACATTTTATTTTTTTGTAAATTTGGTAAAATTGAATAATATAATTGTTTATTAAATATGTGATTTTAATTTAAATTAGTTACATGTTTTTATTACCCTGTCTTTAGCACCAGCAAACGAATAAATAATTACTGCCAAATATTAAGCATACAATAATGAAATAATATTAAAATAATATGTTGTTATAAATATTAAAAATGATATATAATACAAGGTTAGGTTTTTAAAAACTGATACCAGCAAAATACTTTATTGACACTTTCTTTAATATTATATAATTCACCTTCGACAAATAGTGTGGCCAATAATTAAGAAAATATTCGATATTAGCCCAATCATTATAATTTTTGCAATTGGAATATTAAGGACTTATTTAGTGTATATGAACTATTTATCAAAAGCTAATTCACAATATTATTTTTTTTAATTACAATATTTATTACAGCTAATAAATAGTTTAACATCTAGTAATAATAATAAACAATAACATAAATTTAAATAAATAAGAGTACAAAGGATAGAATTTACATTAAAATGATATCCGTAGAATGATGATTTCATATAAAATAAAAGCAAATAATAAAAAAATGAAATTAATAAATAAAATTTCTGAATAATAAAATAATACTAGAAACATTAATAAAAATAAAATTATTGATAATATATATTAGAAAAAAATTACCCAGTGGTGTTTGCCCATCCAATTCGCAAATGTGGCATCATATGGGTTGTTTGTTCCAAATGGTCCATTGTAACTTCAAAATACCATTTCTGGTATACTGCTGAACCTTCAACTTTTCCAACAAAAATGTTTGGTCGAATACTAAAATAATAATATAATAATTTATTTAAAATAACATGATTACATTTTGTATGCCGACATATTAAAAGAGTGAAAGTTTTCAATTGTGATAAAAAGGAACAAAATAAAATTAAGAAGTTTTATTGTATCTTCTGTGTTTGAATTTTTATACATTATATAGACAGTTTTCAGACTTTATATTAGCCTGATTACCTGGCTACATGATCAACTAATTGGGTCTGAAGTAACAGGTTTTTTCCAGGTAGAAGAAAGTCGCAAATGTTGTTTTGTGAAGAACGTACTGCAACTCCGTTACCCACACATAAGGAACATAATACATCCAAGACCTTAGGGTCGCGACCGTGTTTCTCCAAAAGCGAAATTATTACCTTGATGTGCTCGTCCTAGAAAAATTGATTTATGAAAATATCTAATATTTTATAATATAAATAAGTATTCGTTACACCACTATTTTTTGTTATATCAAAAATATTTTACCATTCCTGCTTTTGTATTTTTATAATTGAATGAAGTGCATGCGTAGTGGATTTTGAACAATAATAAATCCTTAGGTTAATAGTTCTACATTAGAAACAGTACTAGTATTAAGTATTTTAATTTTAAATTAATTGTTACTGCTTAATTAATTTTCATTACTTTTATAGACTATAGATTTAGATTAGTATTAGTACTAGTTTAGAGAATTGTATGATATGCTATAAAAATCAATAAATATGATTAAATATGATTAAAGTTCTTGATTATTATTTATTCATTTAATTGATTTTAATATTATTAATTCAATGATGAAATGCATAAGACAGTTGTGATACTGTCTGTGATACAGATAATGAACTCTACTTGATTAATAAGGAAAAATGTGGAAGATGTATTCTCGTTGATAATTTTTTGTAATAAATATATTTCACGTGCATTATACACACACACACCTATATATATATATATATATTAGGGCGGTCCTTAATATGGACATTTTCGAATTTTCTTGCTTCCAAAGGCTCAAATGATTGATAAAAAACAATTCTCTGAAAATTTTAGCCTTTAATATTGTCTTTTAGATAAAACGCAATTCAATCAAAGTTTTGTTAGAAAATAGCATGAAAAAATTTACAAAAATTTTGCATAGCGTCGATAAAAAATGTAACGAATTTTCACTTTTAATTCATTTGTCGTTAAGTTATACCTAAAATTTTTTTTTAATTTTCAAAAATGTTTCCATGCTATTTCCATACAAAGTTTGATTAAATTGCGCACTATCTAAAAGTTAATATTAAGAGCTAAAACTTTCAGAGAATAGTTTTTTTATTAATTTGGGACCATTTGATCCCTTGCAAGCAAGAAAATTCGAAAATGTCCATATTAAGGACCACCCTGATATAAATATATATATAGTATATGGGTAAAAGTTGATACCTTATCAAAAAATAAATTATATAGTTTTTTTTATAATTACCCTCATCATATTCAAAGCTTCTGGAGAATCAATAAGGACACAATGCAATACATCCAACATTCCAGTGCCCTCAGATGACGCCTGAGACCCCAAACGTGAAAATAACCAATTTAGACGATTTGAGTTGGCAAATTGAGCACAATTTGTGTGGTTTCCTTTTATAATTGCGGCTATAAAAATATTAATATAAATTGGTAACAAAACTTATCAGTGTTCTGTCGTATTACTTTGGTTATAAGTTTACTTTGCAAATATGCCAATGATTTATTAATGGACTATCGATAATTTATGTTTTTATATATGTGCTATACATAAGATTGATCCGATTTGAAACTAAAAGAAATAGTATCTAAATATTTCCAAAGTTAATATTTATTTAGAATCGCTAAGGTAAAGGTGGTTTCGATAAGTCAGGCAGAAATAATGATAAAGTTGTATCCAATATACAATATGTTAATGCTCGGTAAGAATCGCGTTTACTGTTGAAAAAATCTATCAATACAATATTTAATCCATTCACATTTAAATTAACCCATTAATTCTATATGTATTTACCCAACAGTTGGTACAAATATCCAGAAATCATTTCCCAAGATTGGCCAGCATCGTCGCCGGCTAAAAATCCTGCCAAAAATCCTTGTGATGTTATAACATTTATTTTATCAATAGCTTCTAAAATTAAATTTAATATTCCTTCTTCCTGGAACAAGTCTTGTCTGTTTCTCAGAGCTCGGAATCTGTTTTGTTTTTCTTCATGCTCTGGAGTAAAAATAATTTTATTGTTATGGATAGATTTTTATAAATTTATGTATATATATATATATATATATATATATATATATATACATATACATATGTATATATATCTATTATATACTAATTAGATAATTATATAAAATATATAGTTAATACAGTATTTGCATATTTAATATATTCAAACATCTTACCCATTTCTTCATCAGGTTGGGCAAAATAATTGATCAAATCTTCAAGACACATAACCATTTCACTAAGATTGACAGAGGCAAAAAACAAAGAATGCCTTCGATTTGTTTGTAATGTTTCCAAGCCACTGAAAATAAAAATAATTATTTGATAATTTAGAATTATTAATTATCATACATTATATATTAAATTAGGGTCTATAATAATAAATCTTACTTTATGAATTTTGTGAACAAACTGGAACATTTTCTGATAACTCTCGCTGTCCTGGATTCCTCCTCCTGAGATCTCGAGAAATCTAGGCCATCGTCCATTTTACCTTCTTCGTGTAAGATTGCTTGTTTTTCTTCAACCTTTGGTAAAAAAAACAAGTACAATAAATTCCATAATTATAAAGGTTTTGCTGCTGATATTTTAAAAATTGTTTCATTTTTTTTAGTTTTGTATCATATTTGTTATAAGTTTATGTGTATTAAATCTCATAAAACTTGTATACGTCATAATTTTCAGCGAACCAATTAATTATATATTTACAGATTTTCTTGAAAAAAAAACAGTAGACTTATTATTATTACCTTTCCAACACCTTTCTTTTTGGTTTCATAACTCTTGTAAGACAACCACAAACCGCTTTCAGAATGTTGCATAATTACTGTAGAATCACCATATTTTATAATAGGAGATCCTATTACTTCAAGATCTTTGTCTTCAAGAACAACCTTTTGGTCATCTTTTTCTTGACGTAAACAAAACGCCGTCGATGCAGTGGTAGCCTCTTCTCTAAAATAATAATATTAATTGTTATAATAAATTGAAATTTGTATGCTATAATTAGTATAAGGTGCTTTAGAGTTGTTTGAAAAAATATTAGGAAAAATTTGGAAAAATCAAATGATGTATTTATATAGAAGTTGTACTTTTAGTAGTTTTACTAAATTCCTAAAACTATTAATAATTTTTAAATGATATATTGGTGAGTACTTTTATTATGATTTCTAGATTTCGTAGTTTCTTACCTTCTGACTAAATACAGTTCATTGTTTTCATTAACTCCTAGATATCTACCAGTAGTGATATGTCTGATTCTCATAGGATGGTACCAATTTATGAAACCACCAGCCCATTTTGTTCGGGCCAATTCCAACCGCCACAAACTTCTGGCCTGACTCATCACAGAACCACCTTCGTAGACCACAATGCTAAAATAAAAAAAATAATTATATATATATATAAATATATAAATATATATATATATATATATATATATACTGTTTTAATTTATTATATGAAATATAAATTAAAAACTTAAGACCCCCTGTATTTTGCGTTTTCCTTGAATCTAATCCTACCAATAGCCAATAATAAATTATCAATCTTGAAATATTCCTCATATTTTCAATCGTCAAATGATTCTTATTATTTGTAATAATAAGTGCAAATGTAAAATATTAAATAATTTTATAAATCACAGAATCCCATTAGATTATGGTTGGATTCTTACTAAAAGCTTCGATATTAGTCTTAGTCATGCTACTGCATTCGAGATGGCGCAACATTTTTAGAATTGTAAGTGGTGTTATTTGATACTTTATATTATCTTAAAAGTAGTTAATCTAAATTCAATAGTATCTCATTTATACTACACTAAATGCTAGTTAAAAAATAACTATATATACTATATTTATGATAATATATAAAAACGATCGTGGAAAAAATAAAAGTAAGTAAATATGCTAGAGTTGCTTGAATTTGATTTAGGATACTTTTATAATAATTATGAAAAATTGTGTTACTAACTCATTATTGATTTTTAAGATTTATTCTAATACCAATTGTTCTGTATTTAAGTTATACTCTGTTATTTTTTTTTTTTTGAATTCTTACTTTTGGCCCAAGGTTTCGCTCCATGTTGACGGTATGGTCAGGCACTCGTCACCACCATGGAAGAATCTAAGGACATCTCCTCCGAAAACATATCCAACATATTTCATTTTACTGATACCGGTTCCATAAGGCTGGACTGACCAGTGGGTAACATGGAAACTGGCGTTGACAACTGAAAGATCGTTTTCTTTTGTTGTGTGCTAAAATATAAACAATATTTTATTTTTTATTATCAAAAATAAAGACCCTATAGTTTAATGCAGGTGCGGATTTGAAAAATTTGGTTGAGATTTTTAATGTTGACTGGTATGGTTTTGTGAGAAATTATGTTATCCTGAAGAACTTTGAACAGTAATTTTAAGTAATCTTGGTTCTGATACAACTTTTGTCTAAAACTAAACAGTTTTAAGAGCTTTTTGTGCATATTTAGACTTTGTGAATATAACATATCAATATAGAATAAAATATTTTAATTTGTTTCATGTAACTTTTCAATGGAACTTTCAATTTGTTCAATTGAAGCTGATACCTTTTGATAAGATAATTGCTAATTCTAGGCAGTGTTAACATATCTAACAATAAAAGCAAATAGAAAAATTGTAATTTGTTAAATATGAAAATGAAAATATCTAGAATCTATTTAAGTAAGATGGTTCACCGCCAATGTGGATTTTTGTTTTGATCTTCTTCTCTTTTTTTTTCAAATATTCGACCATAATTTAAAATAAAAATTAGTTTAAATTAAAATTGGTTATGATTGCAGATAATCTGTACAATAACTATATCTAAAACAATTTTATAAATATACATATACAAATGTATTATCAAATAATACTATCTTACCAAGTAACGTTCAGTAGCAACAGATACCAAAATTAAGTCATCACCAACACGTACTTTTTCACCTTCAGATCTAGAAATGTAAAAAGAATTATCTTCTTATTATTTCTTTAAATTGTATAAGATAATAAGTATTAATGTAATCATATGTTTTTTTACCTTTGTTTGCTCGCTGGATGAACGGTCCACCAACAAGCTTCACCTTTGGAATGTTCTTGCAAACCAACATCGAATGATAATTTATCATTAGATGAACTTGTTGAAAGACATGCTAAATACTAAAATTAAATTATTAATTTATACTAACATTATCATATATATGTAAGTATATATGCATTTTACATAAATATATTTTACCAACCATGTCACTGTTTTGATGTCGAAGAAGTATAGCATTGCCATAGAGAAGTGTTCTGTGGCCGGAACCAGTACCTTTACCCTAATAAAAATATAAACAACGCATTGACAAACGTTTTAAATTAAAAAAAAGAATGCAAAATTTTGAAGCTGAAATTTTTGCTTAAGATTTTAAGACCAGAATTGGATGGGCATGTGTTAATGTTTTCTTGAAAGAATATAGGACTTTTCTACAATTAAATTTTATTTACTGGATATAATAACGCAGAATATTATAAATTATGTTACGATCCTATAACAAAATATGAAGGGAATAAAAGTGTAAGTATGATAAAGTTTTTTAAAAATTCTCACGATAATCTACTTGGAATCATACAAGAAATCCTAGTATTTAGTCCTAGAAAACTATGGATTTTTGGTTTGGTTTATACTTGTACTTGGTTTGATAAAAATGACTGCAAATTCAAAATTAGATGAATTTATCTGTTTTTACTCAATATAGATAATTTGTATTAAGGGGCGTCCATTAATCACTCGATAGATTTTTTAAGGATCTTTGGACCCTCTCTTTACCACCAAACCTTACGTGTATTTCTAGATACTAGAAAAAATTGTAATTTTTTATTTTTTTGTAAATGGTTGGATTTTTTTTTAAAAACTTAGTTAAAAAATAAATATCGTGAGATCTTACTATATCCCTCCTTCTTCCACGTGATATTTTGTGATTTTTTATCAAACACCCCCTCCCCCTAAAAACCCCACGTGATTAATAGACGCCCCTTTACTTGGTATTTGATTATCTTCGATCTATTTAAAATATCTATTATATTTCCAATACTTAAATAATTTTGTATTCAAAATATTTGTATAGCTTTAAAAATCATTCCTACAATACTTTTTTACATTTGAGATATAATTTTTAAAACGTAGAATCCAATTAGAATGCATATGAGTTCTTACTAAAAGCTTCGATAAATTAGTATTGCTACTGCTTTCGAGATAGCGCCAACATTTTTAAAATTGTGAGTAGTGTTATTTGACACTTTCTCATAAAAGCAGTAAATCTAAATTTAATCTTGTCGAGTTCAGTTTATACTACAGTCAATGTTTGTTGAAGAATTAACTTTATATACTATGCTGATATACAACAAAATCTTAGTAGAAAAAATAAAATAAGCAAATGTGATAAAAAGGTGTAATTTTGTTTCAAGATACTTATATAATGATCATAAAAAACATTTTAATAACTCATTTTTAGTTTTTAATAATTACGCTTGAATTATAATTCAATGCTAGCATTGGAACGCAACAGTGCATACCAGTTTTTACTGCTATGTAATTTTGTCTTTTCTTAATTAGCAACATTAGGATTAATTATTAAATTTTTATAAAATCAACATAAATATATGTTGAATTATCAAAAATTTGGATAATTAATAATTAACTATCACTAATGATTATTTATTTATTTTTACCGTCGCGCTTCCGGCCGCCGTAACCAGCTCCTGCAAGGCTCGCACTGACAAGGCCTGCTCTATCACAAAAACGCATTGAGATAGATCCGGTGGAATATTTTTATCTGCTATATTTTCAAGGAAACAGTGCCGATTACCAAATCCTTCAGCAGCTAAACATACTCTTTCTCCTGTGGCTGTGCACGAAAGACATACCATGTCTTCCTATAATATTCAAAGAATACTGTAAGTATTGCTTAATAGTAAACAAATTTAATAAGAGCTCTGGTATCATGGTAAATCTATTAGCAAGTTTTAGTAAAATCAACCAGAATCAGTAATAATGATAAATAATATCCGTCTATTTTGTTTAGTATCAATTTTATTTGTGCATAGAAATTATTAATGTACAAAATATAAATTTTGCATTGCATGCAATTTATGAAATATATCGAGATTTCAATATTAGCAGTTTTGTAAGCAAAATGTAGATCTCAGAGTGTTTCATTTTATACACTATTTCAGTTTAAATATATGTTAGTCATTAAACAAATTGTTTTATAAATAATATGCAGTGCAAATACAACTATTTACAGACCTACGATACTCCTGAAATTTCAATATTGAATTCTGATATTACACAATAGTCAATTGTTATTTACTATTATAGTATTACTATGATTTAGTGTTATTCAACGATGCAAACAATTATATTAATTGTAAGTGTAAGCAAAAACAAAACCTTTAAATAATACAAACACAATACTAAGACTGAATTTAAATTTGTTGGGCCTATACACAATATTATTTTATATGTAATGTACATCAAGACTTTATAAAGTTACATACATGATTTAAAAATATTCGATTATTAAAAATAAAATGCATACATAAAATTAGTAAAAACGCATGAGAACATTCATACTCATACAGAATAAATAATAAAATCATCCAATTATGAAAAACTAGAGTTAAGGTTATATATAAAAATAATAAAAAATTATAGTATAACTATATCATTATCCAAACTCTTAATGATATGAAATAATAATTACTGTAATGAAGGAAAGTACATGAATAAATATAAGAAAGATTTAAGGATTTAAAGATTTAAAAATAATTCATGCAAATAAAATAAACTGATAACAACAATATAATTGGAGAAAAATTATAATAATAATAATTCAAATAAAAATAATAATTTTAATCCGATTTAGACATTCTAGAAAGGAATATAAAAAAATGTGCGGATATTTTATGTAATAGGTGCAAATATATATGAAAAGCAAATAAAAAAAAATTTTGAAATAAAAAATTAAATGTTCTTGTCGTGTTATTAAAGTATCTCTTTGCTATTTCTACTATAGCGATTTTTTATTCTTATATCATTTATCTCATTATATTGGCTTCAGATTTACTAGATGTCCACTAAGGACATTTTATAAATGGCTAAGGACATCTAATAAGGTTAAAAAAATATTTTCCAAAAATAATGATTAAAATCTTGTTAATTCTTATTATCCTTGATCCAGAAATTTAAAACTATTTATAAATATAAGCCAAAATTTTGAAAAAATTACAAACTTACCGTGCGCAAGAATGAAACATCATCCTGCTCGGAGCCTCCTTCGGCTTCCGCCATAATTCAATTTTTTTGGAGGATCACTTAAATCGTGTCGTTTGGTTTCACTTTTACTACAATAAAATTGTAAGTTGACTTAAGACATCTAATAAAAACATATGTTATAGTAGGACAACACAAAATTTACAAAAACTATTGGTGAATGGCATGGTGCTTCAAGGCAAATTTCTGGAACTTCGAGGAATTTTAAATGCTATCCAATAGACTATTATTGAAACTGTGTATTTCATTATTCATATTTTATAGACAAAATATAAGAGCGTATAAATTAGACGCCGGTGGTTATATATGTTTACATGAGAAGTAAACTTGATCCAGTGGAGTTTAGAATTAAAGCAATATTCTCATATTTATAAGAGTTTTATAAAGTGTTTAAATTCAAGTAACCAATCAATTTAATTATATTTTAATATAGATCATCAGAAAACGTACAAAACATCGGTTTAAAATTATTTTGTTGACTAGTATAATCGACTCATCACATTTTCCTCGGTAAAATATAAATAGCACGTATTTAGTATGCCGCTGTGATTAAATTTGAATTTGGCGCGAGACTTGTAAGAGTGATCAAATTTTTATTTTGCTTCCATTTAGCATTTACATAGCATATATACTACAGTACTTTATGACTTCTTTGGCCTTTTATTTATTTTTGTTTCAGCTAATTTAGCTGATACTCAGATTACCCAAAGTTAAAAACTCTAAATTTTGTTGAGCAATATTAAAAAATGCATAGCATTTCATATTTATATGAAAAATTTACTTTTGAAAATGTAATACATTAACAATTCACTATTATGTAGTTATAAAAATTAATGGTTTCTATTTGCTTTATCATATAAAATTTTCATGAATAATTAAATGATAAAAGTTAACTAAAATCAAAATAATTCGATCAAGACTTCTATCAAAATAATTTATTATATTTCGATTTTCTGCATAAGCAACTATTCAATTTTGTAAACTATTGCATTAATAGCAAATTTGCACAGAGAGAATATATTTTTGATGACATTTACAGGTTTTAATCACATATACATATAATCATAGTATATTCGATCATAATTTCTGGCCACGTGTCTTGTAATTTAAGGTTTGAAAAACGTCATTTCACTACTTAATAATATAATAGTTGTTGATTCTCAATAGGTAATTTTTCTAGCAAAAAAACGAAATTTTATTATAATAAGTGTTCAAATTATTTTTAATTAATTTTAAATTATTTGATTTATATCAACTCTAATGTAGAAAATGAAAATATGAGTTATTGTTAAATAAACTTTAAATTTGACGATAAAAATTATATAAAAAGTGACATTTTCTTCCAATAATTGAAGATAGTAAAACAATTTCGTTACTAAAATATTTAAATAATAATACGGTATAATATAGTTTAGTAGATAATTATTACAAGATCTTGTAACTCAGTGATAGAAAAAAATCAATTTAGAAACAAATTTTAAAATCAGCACTTGCCATCGCCATTTAAATAAAATTTTAATCCTGGTTAATATTCCATTATCAATCGGAATCACTCAATAATTAACAATTTAATTTATTATACTGTATCCAAAATCCAGAATTAAATTATATTAGCTGTAGTGTTATCTTTTGCCATAAACTTCCATATTCACTTTTGGCCTCACTCTATCACTGAATTATTTAGAATATCACCACCACATAATTTGACCACAATATTTAATTTTTACCTGTTAAATTAAAACCATGGAGATATATCCGAATTATATTTTATTAAAGAGTATGTGGTACCTCCATCAGGCACCGACTGGTCCTAAAATAATTTTCGTTTAGTATTAAAATAACTCCCAGCTATAGCTTGTATATGTCTAGCAAAGATTTGTTTACGAGAGTGTTATATGTAATGCATACAATGATCTAGTCAAGATATTACTCAATATGACTATTTTATTACTATTATAATAATAATTATTATTGATTAATATTTAAAACCATTCGAAATATATTTGTTAGGAATCATGCGTATTTTTCTTAAATATTAGCTGTGCCGTTATTATTATCTTCTTCATAATTAATTGTTGAATTTTTTTTATGTTGATTTTCATACAACTTTTTAGATAATAAAATTCATGGTCTTAACAAACATCCTTGAAAATTTTAAGGTTTCAAACAGTGGCTTAATTATAAAAATTATAATTAACTGAAAACCTATTTAGAAAATAAATTGATCATAATAAATAAATAATATCACATCTCCAATATATTCACCAAAATCATAGTATCAATAAATAATATTTTGCATTATAATTACACATAATCTAGTAAAGGAACTAAATTATGATAGCACCAATTTATTACATTCGAAATAAATATTCGAACTCTTAATATTCGAAAAATATAATAATAATAAATACAACTATTCAAAATTATCAATGTTTTTTTCCCTGATTATATACATATACATACAATTATATTTCCGCGAAGATAGTTTTTGAAACGCAAATGTTTTGTCAAAGATCCAAAATTTATATGAAGGTCAATGTGACTCACCAAAATTCTTTCTATTGCATCATTGCATTAAATTAATTTAACTCAACAATTATTCATAAATATTCATACGATTTTGCATTGCCATTTTTTAAATCGGTAACAAAATACATATTTAAGTTTGAAGTGAAAATAAATATGATCATTACGTGATATCATCACACCAAAGAGTCCTGTTTACAGCGTGGTCTTCTTTTCATCCGCCATCCGCCCCGAAGGGAGGACTACCGAAGGAGAGCCGTCCCTGTCATGCCTCGGGCAGACAGAATTTCGCTGCGAGAGTTTTGCAATCTCCGAACAAATGTAGATTACCTTATTTTGAAATGGATTGGTATTCGAATTGATTGAAGGATGGCGCTACGATTTCCAATTTCATTGATCTAGCTTGATCTATATATTGATTTCATCGCCATTTTCTATAAGTTGTCATCGCGTATTGTAGTTGAGATGTGTTATATTTGTTTTTCTGTGATTGTTTATATATACTTATGTTTTGGTGAATACTTTTTTCATTTATTATTAAGTTAAAGTGGTAAAGTGTAATGTGCCAAATTGTTATAACTCCAAATATAATAAAAAATGCATGTGTCATATTTGTTTTTCTGTGATTGTTTATATATACTTATGTTTTGGTGAATACTTTTTTCATTTATTATTAAGTTAAAGTGGTAAAGTGTAATGTGCCAAATTGTTATAACTCCAAATTTAATAAAAATGCATGTCTTTCCGGAATCTAATTATCAGATATGTATATAATGATGTATTATGCATATAATGAATATGTATCAAGAAAACTATTAAAATGTTATATATATACATATTATATATATATATATATATATACGAGTATATATATATATATATATATGTATATATATGTATACATATGTAGCGGACTTGATAGCTGTCAGTTGATTGATGCGTCAGTTGTTTAGTGATGAACACTCAACTAAGTTAGTTATCAACAAACTCGCGTTATCATCGCGTTAATATTGTGGCACTTATTTCTATAACTGGTGACTGCGAACGTGAGAAATGAAACAAATAAGCAAGACATACAGAACGTCCTAGTACCCATAATTGGTGACTCCGGACGAAGTAAACAAAAGCACGTGACAGCTACAAAGAAATTTACTAAGGTAAATTATACGTTTAATTTTTTCGAAGATGTCGACTCGATCTACGCCCATCAATGAGGAAACAGCTTTTAACAGATCTCTGATCGATCTGGATCACGAGGCAAACTTAAACACGAGCAGTCCACGTGTTTCTAAATATCCAATTCCGGAGCAATCCAGAAAAATGATCAGCAGGAAGGCAGAAAAATGATCAGCAGGAATTAAAACACAATCGGCCAAGACCAAGAAGTGGCTCTCGACACAGGTCCAGGACACCTTCTCGTGGATCAGTTTGCTACTATCATTACAGATTTGGTGAGAAAGCCACAAAGTGTGTGGAGCCCTGCCTGCTCAAATCGTTAAACCGGACGGAAAACTAACTTCACCGTCATTAATTGGAGCATGCAATGACGGTGAAATAAATTCTGTTTGCTCTGAGCTCTGACAGACTAGTAGACAGAAAGACTTAAATCCAATTCCTTATAGATTTCGGATCAGTTTTATCCATATTACCAGCCCATAAGTTCGCTAATGGTCATGCCAAGGAAGAACTAGTTTCGTTTGCAGCAAACTCTAGCAGAATATCCACGTATGGCAAGAGAACTCTGGAGCTGGATCTATCACTACGCAGAAGCTTTAACTGGCAGTTTGTTGTTGCCGATGTAGCCACAGCCATTATGGGAGCCGATTTCCTAAGCAACTACAATCTGTTGATAGACTTGAAGGGCAGAAGATTAATTGATTCGACCACAGGCCTTACCTCTGATGGAAAGGTACTCAAGGCACAGCAAGTCAACATCTCCACTGTCAACCCGGCAGAGTCTTTCAAGGATTTACTGGCACAATACATTGCAGTAACAAAGCCGCAGGTAACCACCAATATTAAATCATGTCATTTTTCGCATAGGATAACCACAACAGGTCCACCGGTAGCTGCCAGGTTCAGGAAGATCTTCGGAGAAAAGACTGTTGCAGCTAGGTCCGAGATACAAGATCTCCTGAACAGGGGCATTTTGAGGCCTTCCAACAGTCCATGGGCAAGCCCTATTTACATGGTTCCAAAAAAGAATGGCACATTCAGACTGTGTGGAGATTATAGGAGGCTGAACGCAAACACGCTGCCCGATAGGTATCCTCCACCCTTAATACAAAATGTGTTTAATACTCTGCATCAGAAAACAGTATTCTCTAAAATAGACCTGGAAAAAGCCTACCACCAAGTACCCATGCATGAAGAGGATATTAAAAAGACTGCAATTATTACCCCATGGAGATTCTTCGAGTATCTATGTATGCCATTTGGACTCAAAAACGCCGCCCAGACATTCCAGAGGTTTATCAATCACATCTTCCAAGATTTTAATGCTGTTTTTATTTATATAGACAACATCCTGGTAATGTCCACTGACATGAATGAGCACCGTCGTCATCTTCAAATGGTTTTTGAGAGGCTACAGGAGTATTCACTCACAATCAATGTAGAGAAATGCGTCTTTGGTAAACATGAGGTAAACTTCCTGGGTTACAAGCTGAGTGCAGCAGGATATTTTCCTTCACCAGACAGAGTAGAGAAAAATATTAATTATCCAAAACCTTCGACAGTGATTGAACTACGAAGATTTTTGGGCATGGCAAATTATTATCGTAAGTCAATACATCAAGCTGCTAAAATACAAGGACCACTTTATGATTATTTGAAGTTCTCAGTAAAAAATGGCAAGACTTTAATTATATGGGATGACAAATCACAATCAGCGTTCAACAAACTTAAGGAAGCTCTGGCAAATGCAACTCTTCTTCATTATCCTGCAAGCATAGCAAACATTAATTTAATTACAGATGCATCCACTACTGCTATAGGAACTACATTAGAACAAGAACTTAATGGTGCCTGGCATCCAATAGGTTTCTTTTTGAAAAAGCTTTCATCTACAGAACAAAGATACTCCACAAATGATCGGGAATTACTAGCTATTTTTGCTGCAATCAAATATTTTGAACATCTCTTAGAAGGCAGACATTTTTTCATAAAAACTGACCACAAACCTATATCTTTTCAACAGAAACTAGAGAAGGCTTCAGATCGTCAGCGACGGCAGCTGGAATACATCTCACAATTTTCCACTGATATCATATATGTGAAGGGTGAACAGAACGTGGTTGCTGATGCCTTGTCCAGGATTAATTCCATTCAAATGCCTTCAAAGATAACTGCAGAGGAAATTTCGAAAGAGCAGAGCAAGAACGTTGAAATGCAGACTATATTAAATGGCAATACTTCTCTGAACCTACATAAGTTGTCATTAGACAGCCATCCAGTTTATTGCCACACTCAAGATAATCTTGTAATGCCCTATCTTCCGCAAAGTCTTTGCAGAACTGCTTTTGACACAATACAAGGAAATTCACAACCAAGCACATCACAAGAATTTAAACCACATCACTTGGAGTCAACGATGGATCCTCCAAGAAAGATTAAAACCAAAAAAATCTCCTTCAAATTATGAATTTATTTATTTTTAAAGATACTTCGTTTTTCAAAGGTGCCAGAATAAAATTCTGCGTATCCTTACTAATGCGCCTTGGTATATTTCGAATTTTTGTCTACATAAGGATTTGAAAATCTCAACAGTCAACGAAATGATCAAGATTAGAAGTTCATCTTTCAACAATAAATTAATCCAGCATACAAATCCTACAATTCAAGCGATTCACAGACCGATAAGAAGATTGAGCAAGAAATGGCCTTCCGATCTACCAAACACCTAGCCCATTGTCTGCACGCGTCCTGACGTAGTACGCGGCATACATCATCACGTCATCGTTCATTTATGTTATTATTTTTGTATTCTGTTTTAATTTAATTTTTATTTTAACTTTTTTCATTTTAAATTCAATGTATTGCATTTTTTGTTTTTTTGTATTTTTTTTGCTCATATCAATTTTGTAAATAAGACATTAAAGTCTTGATTAACAAAAATAAATTGTAAAAAAAAAAAAAAAATTCTTTTGAAGGGGAGTGAACATGTAGCGGACTTGACAGCTGTCAGTTGGCTAGTGATGTACACACAACTAAGTCAGTTATCTAGAACTTCGTATCTAGCAACCTGTTGCAGATTATGTTTCGGACAATCGAATAAACGGTTCTCTCTGATTTTTGTTTCCGCGATTATTGTCGAGTAAA